TGGCTGCATAGTTTCAATTAAGCTCAGCCACAATAGTTGATGGTGTTGTGGGCGTCCTACCCACGTGAAAGCAAGAAGAAAGGGAGAGAGAAAGGATGAGGGTGTTGTTTTCAAAACTAAAAGTTAATTCTGTTTTCATAAATAAATAAAAGAGCAAATAGATGCTAAAAAAAAGAGTAAGACAGTGTGCAAAGCAAGAAAAATACCGAGTGGAAACAGAAAGTAGGCAAACAAGAGAAGAAGAAAAAGAAGACTGGATGGAATAAATACAGAAAGCAGATAGGTAAGAACTGAAAGGGAAGAGGAGAAGAAGAGTGAGACAGTGTGGTTGGAAGTGAGAGACAGACTGTGAAGCACAGCTGTTTGCTCTTAGTTCTGGCCCAGCGCTCAGTAGAACGTGTTTTATCTGCAGCGTTTCTGCCAAAGTCATCACTCACGCCTGAAACATGGACAGAAACTCTCATTTGGTCCTTTTGTTATGGCCTTGGAAGACCTACGCCACCCTGTTCTACAGTATAAACACACACACACACACACACTGGCTGTCATATCAGAAACCTGGGAGCTGTTTCTCCAACATAACATTTATAAATAAATCTACTGTTCAACAAGTGCATCATTCATCCATTATCACGTTGATTTTGCTGTTTTCAAGTCAAACTGAGTTTCCCTCCAGCTGTGGCAGCAACCAGCAGCTCACGCTACACTCATCTAAAACAGGAGGCTCCAAAGGAGCTACACGACAACACCGTTGAGTTAAAAGTCTTTGTGGTGCACACATTTTTTATTTAAATTAATTAGTGCCAAATGTATTTATTGTGATTTTTATTTGTGCTGCTGATAAATGTGCATAGGTATAATAGACTGCTGAAAAGAGAAAAGTCCAGAGGTGGAGCCGAGGCTGCAAAAATCACTCCAAGGTCTGCAAATGGGCCCGCAGGCCACACTATGGACATCCCAGATCTGAGACAAGGAGGCAACCACCATGTAAAAGTGAATGGAGATAAACCTGCAGCAGTTGAGCACATGAGCTCATGCATGATCTTCATATCAGTAGATAAAATGTCACCAAACATCCAAAGTTCAGATAGGAAAATAGACCTGCAATGTGTGGAGATGAGTTTGAGCTGAGGAGATAGACAAAATGGGACCATTAATGTTGGTAGAAAGCATAAATCTGTGAGAGAAGAAAGAGCTGCACATTAGAGCATGATCTCAGGAGTTATGATGCTGCAACCACTGATGCTTCCTGCTCTTCTCCTCCACTAGACTCTCCTGCATTCTGTCACATCAGCCTACAGCCAGTCATCTAGGCTCCGCTCCTCAGGGGTGCATCAGGTCAGAGCTACATCAGGATGCTGCTACATCAGGATGCTGCTACATCGTGCCAACAGGACATGAAGAAGCTGTAGTACAGATAAGAGACATCACACTATGCTGCCACTAATCTTCTCAAGACCCAACAGGCTGCTGCTGTCCAACCACCCATGTTCTTCTGCTTACCCAAGGCTGGGTATGAAGGCGACTGCTCCAGGAGCAGCTCTGCTCTAAACTCCCCTCAGACGATGGAGACCCTCACCTCATCTAGTGCTTTAACCCTCCCGCATCGTTAACGGGGTCAGATGGAGCTCTGGCGTATTTTTATTTTTTATTTTAATATTTTTTACGGGGTGCATCACTTCACCCCTGCCAAGGCATAAACTTTAAACCCTGTTTAGCCACCCCCTGTGCTGGTGGGGTCACCCGATAGGAAAGTGGAAGGGTTAAGTTAAGTCAAGACCCAGCTCTCCTAAGCAGAGGAGATGGCTGGAACACAGAGAGACCAGTAAACCCAGAGCTCTGCCTTTTGGCTCCCCAACAGTCTGGACCTCCTTAGCCGACAACAGGCAGACAACATCACGTGACAACGGCCAAACAGAGAAAAACAACATGACCAGGTTGACACATGCTATTGTCTTAGTGAGGTCCACCTAACCATCATGACCCACACACTGAGCTCCTCACTCCCAGTGTTGCCATGACAACAAACCAGCGTTATCCTTTCACCTTCTACCCTCCATGACTCCAGATCTGTGTTAGTGCACAAAGACAGGACTCTTTTGTTGTGAGGTCCCACCTGCAGGTTTATGATAGAAGCTAGTTTCACCTTTATGACATCATAAAGCATCTGTTGCATTAATTAGCTCAGAGTCTGTTTGTAGGTTATTTTAAAGGTGTTTCTTTAGTAAATTTAATGCATTAAACTCTCATTTCTAAAAAGTGAAATCTTCGTTTTTACGGTAAAACCCAACATCCTTATCTGGTTTCTGACTGTTACACACACTCACACACGTCTACACACTCCAAAAGGTGCCAGGCGTCTCTGTAATTTCCTGTTTGGAGCGCTGTTTATGGTTACGCTCGGCGTAACGGGGAAAGTGTTGAGGAACGAGGAAACCTTAGCTCCAAACACCACTGGAAATCTGATTCCCCCCCCCCCCCCCCACCCCCACCCCCACACACACACACACACACGCTTTCATCTTTCATAAATCTGCCATCTGGCACCGGTACGATCAATAAAGACCCGACTTTATGCGACACTCTTACAGGACAGATGTGTGTGTGTGTGAGTGGGGTGGGGGGTGAGGGGGTCTACCATGCAGCCGATAAAACTGGACTGAACTCATGCTGACATTCTTTCTTTCACACACACACACACACACACACACACACACACACACACACACACACACACACACACACACACACACACACACACACGCGCGTGTTTGTGTGTGTGTCGGTGGTCCAGATTGATTTACATTAAATACATATAATTAAAAACAAATAAATAACCTCATAAACATACAAATAAATCTAGTTAAGCTGATATTTAAAGCCTGATTTAACATAATTTATTTTATGTTCATCAGCAAACTCAAGAGGACAAAAATTATGAAAGCTAATTCTTCAGATTAGGTTCAGATTAGAACGAGGCTCTGTTACAGTTATAACCCTGAAATAACAATTTAATTAGTGACTAAATGTTTTTACAGCCTTAATAAAGGCATCATTTCTGTTCTGACCCTCAGGAGCAGGGCGTGCCTTTTCATTCAGAATCAACTTTATTGTCAGTGCCCCAGAGTCCTGATGCACGTGTCTCCGCAGCAGCCTGACCGAGGCCACACACACAAGCATGTAGATCAACAGAGATACAGGCAGACCACGACAGCTGCCGTTGAAGGCGCTCAGAAAATTAGATTTCAGATTTACGTTAGCTGAGTTTATTTTTGTCTGTGGTGAGAAAACTTTTAGGAAAAAGTGTACAAAATATGTTTGAATCTTAAGATGATCAGTCTGGGATTGTTCTTAAATGTATCTGTGAAGGTGTGTAACATGTTTTATAGAGGCGTGTGCTCTACGAGGACGATCTGAACCAAAGATCGGATCGGTAGGATCGGGTTTAACCGAGTAGATGTGTCCAAGTCCCAGTGGGAAGCTGAGTGTGTGTACCTGTGTGTGCCCTGCAGCACAGCTGTAACGGTCTGTGTTACACGTGTAAAAGCTCAGTGAGCCTCTTCAGTCCCAGAGAGTGTTTCTATAAAAGTGCTGTGATGGGCAGATTTCATGAGCTCTGAACCCAACAGCTCAGTTCATAAAGACCGGGTTTCCAGACACCAAACTCCCAAAGAGCGTGAGACGCTCCGGTGACAGACCCCAGCTCAGTTTGCAAAGCCGTGTGGTGACTTCCCAGCCAGGAAGAAAATCCTGCTTAATTTTACAAGAACTTCTGACCTTTAAAACTCCTCCATGATGCCTTGGTCTGCCAGAGAGAGCAGAGAGCGACTGACTAATGTGTGTATGAGACTGCAGGAAGGTCACATGACTCAACATCATCCCGCTGCAGAACAACAGGAACTGTTTCATCTGATGCTGGTGTTCACCCACACACACACACACACACACACACACACACACACACACACACACAGTTCAGAGACCAGTGTCATAAAACTAATATTCTAAAGGCTGATTCAGCTCATTTAAAATTTTATTAGACATTATTTTATGTCCTCTCAGTTAAAATGTTTAATCAGAAAAAAAAGATTAATTCACCAAAAACTTGTTTTTGGTTTTTCTTCAAGGGTTAAAAATGTGTTCAGTTAAAACTAAATAATGATATTTTACTTTTGTTTAGAATAAATTATTGCATAAATAATGAGTTTTTATTAAATTTAATAAAGACTCTAATATTGACTATTAATGTATTAATGATCTGTTCTTGTTTTTCAGGAGGAACCAATAAAATGTTTATTATATATAATGAATCAAATGAAACAGGACTGAATTATACAGAACAAACAAACAAACAAATAAATAAAAACATGAAAGCTTCCTGAATGAGGTTCTGATTGGAGGTGTTTTAACAGCCTCAGACTCGGCGTCTGCAGGTGAACCTACATTCTCATCACCTGCATGTTTTTCCTGAATCCTGCTCAGACGGGCTGGATGTGGTTCTGCTCCTGGCCCTGCTGGAGTTTTCTCTGGGATGATGATGAATACATTTCAATCTCTGCCTCTGGCCGGGACCTCAGCAGTGGCTGCGAGCCAAGGCTTGGATCTTAAAGCTTATCCAGAGGCAGATCCATCACAAACCAGCCCGTCCTCCAACACATGCACGTTTACTTTGCTCCACCGATGGAGAGCGCCGCGGTGACGGATCTCTGCTGTGCCGTTACACAACCAGGAATCTGATGGGGGGGGGGGGGGGGGGGGGGGGGGGGCTTTGCAGTGTTCCTTAATCCAAATCCTGTTAGCAGTGCCTCCAGCCTGGCGTAGATCGGACAAAACTACAGCGTGTCTATGCTAGATGCTCTAGGATAAAGCAGATGTTAGTCCAGCTGCTGCAGCAGCAGCCAGGCTGTTTTCAGACTGGAGTTCCTGACCAGGAGATGCTTTCATGCATCAGGTCTCTGATCTGGAGGACACACCAGTGCTGCTGAAAGGAAAGGGCGTACCTGTATCTCTTGTTGTCCACAGGTACGATGTCCATGGCGATGTAATACTGCTGATGAGGGTCCAGTCCTGCAATCTTTACTCTCATGGCGGGAAACATCCTCCTAACGGGAAGAACCAATAAAACCATCTGAGAAGGAATTAAACCCAGATTGATTTGTTATAAAGGCGGTCAGAAGGACGATGTGGGAAACTGCACCTTTCACCAAACAGCTACTTTATTTTATTCTTATTTTCATTGAGTTTTCGACCAAATCCACAATTTCTCATTTAAACAGTTAAAAATAAACCTTTCAAAAGAGATGCTTGTTTTTCTGGTGTTTTTATATTTTTAAAATAGGTTTTCTTTGGTTATTAATGAAGTGATTTAAATATGAACATCAAATAGAAGGAGGGAAATCTCTGAAAATGAGTTTTTATACGAAAGATCAATCCCATAAATCACTGGGACGTCATACTGTGGCTATTAAATAATTATTGGTTTATTTAAATTCTCTAATTTTTCTATTCAGGGTTCTTCTTTTTATTTAACTCAAATCCAATCTGTATTTTTATCTGAACAAACAGTAAAATAACTTAGGACTGATCATTTTCTCTCATTTAATTAAATTAAACAGAAGTTAATTGCAAATGCTTCTGTTACTGCTCACCTCTGACAAACTCATTTAATAATTATGGTTTTGATTCCAGTTCTTTTTGCTCTGATCTGATTTATTTAAAATATTTTTGAAACCTTTAGATCATAAAAATTAAAATAAACATTTTCCCTCCCAGCCAGTCTGACCTCTGACCTTTGTTTAGAATAAGGACAAATGAGAGGCCAACAGAAAATATTTTTGTTTCTCCTTTTTTTCATTTAAAGCTCGTAAATCTGCCTGATGAGGCAAGAGGTCTGCTTTTCTCCGCTCCTCTGGGTTTATGGGCGAATTAGGAACGGGCCGTGACGCGCAAACAGGACGCTTCAGCGCACACTCCGTTTATGAGCTGATCACCAATTTAACCCTGATGTGGAGCAGCGCGCGGCGTGCGTGTGTGTGTGTGTGTGTGTGTGTGTGTGTGTGTGTGTGTGTGTGTGTGTGTGTGTGTGTGAGAGAGAGAGCGAGCGAGAGAGAGAGAGAGAGAGAGAGAGAGAGAGAGAGAGAGAGCGAGAGAGAGAGAGAGAGAGAGAGAGAGAGAGAGAGAGAGAGAGAGAGAGAGAGAGAGAGAGAGAGAGAGAGAGAGAGAGAGAGAGAGAGAGAGATACTCAGATGATAAAATATTGACAACAATTCTATCAAAAAACTACGAGGTGGCTGAGTGGACTCATTTGGACACGCATGAAGACGCGAGTTCCGCTGATTTTATTAATTATAACATGAAGTAAAATTAAACAGCGAATGTTTCAGGAACAATGCTTACTCATTTACTAACAATTAACCTGCTTTTCATGCATGTAGTCATTCAGCCTAATTATTACCTTCGATTTTTCATGATGCACCAAGAAAATTATTATTATTATTATTATTATTATTATTATTATTATTATTATTATTATTATTATTATTATTCGGGGTAAATTTGCCGTAAACTCCAGCGCAGTCCTGCTGCTGATTGCGCAGCGTAGAGGCATTTGCGCAGCTGCGCTTGGGGAAAAGCTCCTTCCCGCAGGATCCAGAGGTTAATTCGTGTTCCTGCTCCGTTTCTGGACTCGTGTGCACTCAGGAGAGCTACGGAACAGGAACAGGTCACAGGGGACTAATTAGAACCAGCTCTCCGCGCGCACAACGCAGGGAGGCCCGAGCGGAGCGACGCGCGTGTGCGGCACATTAACGCACTGCTTCAACTCAGAGGCGCGTGTGCGTGTGGAAGTGGGTGTGTGAATCAGTGTTTCTGTGGGGTTTAGGCCTTTGTGAGAAAACGTGTTTATAATCAAATTTCCCGCACGTGCCGCATACCTGCCCGCCTTGGTGATGATCATCTCCGTCCCGATGTCGTGGAAGCGCTTCCATAGGTCCGCGCACTGCAGCTCCACCTGGATCTCCTCCATGGAGGCCGGAGGAGAGGCGTCGCAGGGGCCCGGGGTCAGGTCTGCCGGGGAGCCGAAGGAGCACGACGTCCTCTCGGCCAGACCCTCTCCGTCCGAACCGGGACTCGCCTCTGAGTCTGAGGGTGGAAAATAAGGAGGTCGTGAGAAGCAGCGGGATTTGTGCGTTTTATGAGCAGAAAGCCTGTCGCACAGTGATGAATCCGCACCTGCGTTCCGAACTCGGACACAGTCAGAACCAGAATCAGTGCTGCCTAACGCCTTTGAAATATGAGGACAGTTATTATTATTATTATTATTATTATTATTATTATTATTATTATTATTATTATTATTATTATTATTATTATTATTATTATTATTATTAAGCTACCCAGAGACATCCACTGGACCAGACCATTAAAACCCACCCTTTCCCACTAGCCCATGGCCATTCTAACGGGATACAGTTATTTTCTGTTCTTATATCAGCTCCATCCCAGGGCACGTGGAGTTTTCCAGTCAGATATGGAGCCTAAAGCATCCTAACACTTATGTAATCTGATTTTAAATCAAAATGGACATTTTTAAGGTTTAATGGATGGATTTTCTGGTTGTCAATTCATCCACGCACTTCTACACGCACTCTCGTTAGTCCTCTAAAAATCAACACCACGGGCACCAAAACGTATGATCTTGTTTATCACGGCCTCCGACACGAGGCCTGCTGCTGCCGGGCCACTAATACACTTAGAGAGAATGAGTGTTGTGCATGTATGACCCGGAGTCCCCCAGAGTCAAACATCTGATCTGAAGTCTGTCTAAAAGTTTCTGCCTTTGTTTTGGTTTTAAAAATCATCTGAAGTTTTAAGGCGTCCTGTGTCTGATCTGGGCAGATGGACGAGACTCAAAAGAGAAGTTCAGAGACTCAAACGATCACACACAATATGTTCCTGTTTCAGGATTATTTAGCTAAAGTTGTCGTTTCTGAGCTGACAACTCATTAATTAAAGAACAAAACATAATCTGCAGATCACACACACACACACACACACACACACACACACACACACACACACACACACAAGTGAATTTTGTTTATACGGTTTAGCTGTCTTTTGAATCTATTTATTTTTACAAAAATGTAATTTTCTTCATATGAACATGATCAGTTTTATTGTGAAAACCTTTTAATTTCCTCTGTGACAACATTCACAAACCCATGATGTCAAATCAAACGTCCTGTTTTAGGTTTTTGTTTAAAAAGCAGCAAAACCGCGGAACAGGGATTATTTTTGATCTCTGACACACCACAGCCCAGACAGCTACAACAAGCTCAGCGGACTAAAGTCTCCCCACCAACCCGCCAGAGGCTTCTCATCCGGCCTCAGAGCGGAGCGCTGCGGCCAGGAGGTCATACCGAGAGGAGCCGAGGATGGAGAGTCGACCTTCAGATTCAGTGAACCTGTGTGTGTCAGATCCTCTCATTGTAACAATACTGATGCAAGGGCTGCCCCTTCACCAAAATTGTATTAAATCTCCCAAAAAAGCATTCAAGTAATCATATGAGATCCTGTCTAAACCATGAGCTGCGTTTGAGCGGTACACACACACACACACACACTGTTAAATTGACTGATCATTGTGTTTTTATCACTAAATCTAAAACGCAAGTTCATTTAAGGCGGTGGAGACGCGTTAATTACAGCTGCTGCCTAAACAATCTAATTACAGAAAATAAAACATCGTTTCATTTTTAATTAATATTACTTCAATATGTTTAAATAAAATTTTCATGTCTGTTTTTTATTTTCTGTTTTACTTTACGCAACGCGCGCTTTTCCACTGCTTCCGTTTTTCCTCGTGTTTGAATAAAACATCAATCTACTTTCTCAGCTCAGCTGGCTTTAAACATGCACACACACACACACACACACACACACACACACACACACACACACACACACACACACACACACACACACACACACACACACACACACACACACACACACACACACACACACACACATTTACCCTTGGATCAGAACAACTACGTTCTGATTTGTTCTGTCTGCGCAACTACCCGGACACACTTTTACGCACTGGATAACGGGTTTTTAAATGATATTTAAAACTCTTCTTTAATAGTGAAACATTTCAACATGAATGTTTCCTTCCCGCAGCCAGCCGAGGCCTCTGCCGGTCTGAGGTCAGATTTATCCGAACATGTTTAGCAGCAACAAATTTAGCATTCTTGTGTTTGACGTCTCCTGTGCGCAATCCCGCAGTCTCAGTGGGACATTAAACGGTTCTGTTTATTAGTTTATTAGTTAGTTTAGTCAGTTTAAGTGGCGCAGCAGCAAAGCGGTACCGGTACCAGAACCTCTCTGGTAGGTTGGGTCAGATAAAAGTGCAGCCATGTTTGTACTCCGAACTTGTGACCTTGTTTTAACGCAGATCCCGACATTTGAGCGGTGTTGTGCGTGTTTGCGCACTGACCCGGGTCCATATCCAGACAGTGCGCCGGGTCCTCTCCGTCCGCCGCGAGGCTCTCCATGGACAGCTCCAGCTCCTTCTCCTCCCAGCCGCGGAGCTTCCGCTTCTTGTTGGAGCCGATCAGGGCTTCCACGGAAAACGCGTGGGCTCTAGAGCTCAGAGCTGCGGCTGATCGCCTCCTCTCACTCATTTCTCTCAAATCCACCCGAAGGGGGTTCGGACAAAAACCCACTCCGTCCGTCCAAAGCAGCAGCAGCAAAACAATTCAAAAAAGAAAAAGAAAAAAAATGCGCACACGTCAGTGTTTACAGCAGGACGTCAACTCACCGAGCGTCCAAATAATCCGAACTGGACTAGAAAGGCCGAGCAAACGTTTTGGACCGAGCCATCCTGGCTGCGCGGGGGTTCGGATGTTCCTCTCCGTCCTTCTCTCTGACTCTCTTTTTCTCCTTCTGACCCTCTAACTTCTCCCTGATTGATTCTCACTTCTGGAGGACTTTTTTCTCCAGGCGGAGGGGCGCGGCCCGCCTCGTGCTGTAGGAACCCCTCCGTCCAATCAGAAGGTAGGATACGGAACTGCAGCAAGGGTCCGGTCCAATGGCTGCATAACAGAGGCTGAGTTCTGGATGTCTGAAACCTCAATGAAACAAACACGTCAGATCAGGTTTCTACGTCAGAATCAATAAACCCAGTAAAATGTGAACGCTGTTATGACGTCATCACCCCCGGTTCCGCAGCATCAGTCTTCCTCATTTCTGCTCGAGAGCTTCAGGCAGCAGAACAAGGTTTTGCAGGACAGGTGGGCTCGATCGGAACATTTCTGCTTCACGTCGGCGCCTCCGCTGCTCGGTACCGCACACTCAGTAACGTTTAACCTTCAGTAACGTTTAACCTTCAGTAACGTGGCTGAAAATGTTTTTGAGTGGATTTTATTCGTCTTGCATGGTCCAAAATAGTCCGGGACCAAAAGGTTCTGCTGAAATAAACCAAACGGGTAATTTCTAAACCACCTATTGTTTGTTTAGCAGAAACAGTTTAATGATGTGAAAAAAGCTGCGGAGCAGATCCAGAAACACGCAAAGAGCAGCTTTTATTCTGCGAGCCAGACAGGCGCAATTAAGGCCAGAGCAGGAGAAACGGTAGACAGACAGATAGATAGATATTTGTGTGTGAGTGTGTGTGTGTGTGTTTATCCCTGTAAGAGGAACATCCAGCAGTAAAACCTAAAACCAACTGTTTGCCGCTGAGACCCGCTGCTCTGATTCTCCAGAACCGGGTCACGTTCTTAAATCTTTTTTTTTCTCCTATAGATTCAGTGTGAAATGTTAATGACTTTATAAAAAATATAATTTATCTATTAATTAGCAAACAAACAGAAACACTAACAAATAAATAATATAATAATACAATAATATAATGTAATATAATAAACAAATAAATACATAAATAACGCATCACTGATCAGGAGACGATTCCGTCGCTGAGGCTCAGCCGACAGACTCTCGGTCTGTTTCAGCTGGTTCCGCCTGAGGCCACAGGCTCCGACGGCACGCAGGATACGCGTTAAGAGGTCTTAATAAATCAACCTGAGCTGCTAAAAATAATTGAATGACCAAAGCCCTAAAATGTACCGTAACAATGGTCTTTTTGATTTTTTTTTTGTTGACAAAAGTAAGAATTTAATTAGATTGTGATGTCATTAAACTGATGATCAAATTTGGGAGGGGTCCAATCTATTTTCAAATTAAGAAATAAATAAGATTTATGCCTAAAACGGAATAAATATACGTTTACAGCCAAATATTTACAGATAACTGGATTTAGAAGCAAATGAAAATGAAAGTAATATATAGCAGATGACACAAAGTTTTAAATGACTTCACTCCAAACATTATCCGTGTCAAACCCTCGGGTTCTGGGAATAAAAGAGAATATAATTTTTTTGAAAAACGGCCATTATAGTAAAGTAATTCCACATCTAGATTATGAATGATTTATAATATTTTAGGGCCACGTGCAGGAGGAAGAGTTAGCTCCATAAGAAGTCTGGTTCGGTCAAACTCGGTCCGGTCCGGAAAATAAAACTCTTCCCTTTTCATCCATTTAATCAAAGCAGCGCCTAGCTCAAAGGCACAGCGGAAACTCTGTTTCAACACCTGATTATTGATTACCGTTAAATCTATTTTCCATAAAACACGTTCGCAGATTTATCTAACAGAACTGAATGTTTACGTTTTCTTCTTCGTCGCGGGTTTTCGCGAGAACTCCGTTTAAAGGCTTTTATCTCTGACGCGTGAAACGGGAACAGGCCGCTGATTTACGCCCGCTGCTCCCGACGATGACGTCAGCACGAGAAATATACGATAAAAGAAATGAAATGAGAAATAAAGTCGACATCATAAATAATGGGTCGGAATCCAGATGTGAGGTACTTCCGGAGGAGAAAGCAACATTTTAAACACAAATTAGAGAATAAACGATGAAGGCAAAAATAAATGAGACAAAGTGAAATGAAGAGTAAAATAAATAGAAAATAGAAAAGCAAGAGAGGTAAATTTGGATAAAAGAGTGAAATTAAAGAGACAAAACAAGTTTATTCTCATTATAAATAAAACCACTGATGTGTAGTTTTACAGGGAACCCCTTCAGCTGTTTAAGGAACTTCACACATGTTAATAAAATAAATCCGTTTTATTTCTGGTGCTGAAAAAAACCCCTCAAAAACCAGAGTCTAAGTTAATGACGGTTAACTGCTGAAGGGAAAATAAAACATACAGGTGGGCAAGTTTGGATTATCTTTAAATGTAAAACTGAAAAAATGTGTCCCAACTAAAATAAATAAATAAAACAATTCTTTTTTTATATGTAAACAAACATTTTATTCCACGTGAATAACCAATGCTTCCGGGACAAAATCATTACAGTCCAGCCTTTCAGATTTATTGTTTTGGCGCATCTGAAACGACCAATAAAGCTTTTACAGGCTGGTGAACAACCTGTTTAAAGAAACAGCTCCTGTTCCACAGGACTGATAAGCTAACAGCTAGTCTGAGTGTATGTGGGTTTAGTACCAGGATGATGAGTCAAAGCTAAAGGAAAACGGACAAAATCTCCATTGTTCATACGTTTGAATCAGGTAAGTTGTTTCTGTTGTTTGAACAAATTGTTGACTTGAAAGGTTAAAGTTGAATTAACTCTTATTTTTTTATTAGTTCTCTCCTGGTGGCTCACAGACCAGATGGTAATTACGGTAAAGATCATGTATTTATAACAGACAAAAGTAAATAGAGCAGAAAACTGGGCTGTAAGACCCTGAAGAGTGTGCAGTCTCCTTGTTCCAGTCTCTGGGAAAAACCGGGTTCACCACCAGCTAACGGTTTTCCGTCGAAACCACATCCGCCTCGTTGGGTCGTTTCCACACATTTTCTCTCTGCATGAGTTAGAAACCGTATAAAACCGAGACAGAAACCGTCGCTGGAATAAAACCTCACACTTTAATGAGCTGCTGTACAAACAGGACGTTGTTTTGCCGCCCCTCAGCTGAAGCCCACTCTGTGTCGGACCTCTGCCATCACAGGTGCAGCCAGTTCCCGGGCCCTGCGGTTCCCCAGCTCCAGCAGGTTCTGCAGGTGAGCCCGGTCTGCCCTCAGCCTCTGGAACTCCTCTCTGATGGGCGTCAGCCTCTGGATCACTGCCTCACTCACCAGCGTCTTGTAGGCTCCCGTGTCCAACCCTTTGGCCCGCGACACCGCCTCCTGCACGGTGATGGTCGCCATGGCAGCATGGATGGTCACCAAATTGGACACACCTGGGCGGGTCTCTGGGTCAAAGGTGACCTCAGAGGTAAAGTCTGTGACAGCGCGGCGGATCTTGAGGGCGATGTCATCGGGAGAGTCGGTGATGCTGATGGTCGCCATTGCTTGTGTGTCTGACTTGGACATCTTGGCAGAGGGGTCACGGAGGGACTTGACCTTTCTGGTGGAGCCTGCAAAAGATTCAGAACCAGGATTAAGAGCAAGATTCAGCATGTGTGTGTGTGTGTGTGTGTGTGTACACACGTGGGAGTCTTTGTGTGAGCATATGTGTGTGCATGTGCAAGTGGGTGTGTGTGTGCGCACGTGTTTGAGTCTATGCATGTGCATACGAGTGTGTGACTGAGCTTGGGTATGCGCGAGCGCGTGGGTGTCTTTGATTGTATGTGTGTGCCCATGCGTCCATGTCTGTGTGTGCATGTGTGTGTGCAAGTATGTTTGTGTGTGCGAGTTTGTGCATGTGTGTATGTGCGCGCACGTAGGTGTCTGTGTGTGTGCATGTGTGTGTGTGCCTGTGTGTGTGTGTGAGTGTGTGTGCGTGTGCATGTCTCTGTGCATGCGTGTGTGTGTGTGTGTGTGTGTGTGTGTGAGACCCCGATGTGATGCAGGCGTATCACAGTGTGAAGTGATGAGCCGACTGTGAGAGCTGGGATTTCCTTTCCTGTTTCATCTATCAACAGCATCCTTCCGCCATCTTGCCAGCTCCATATGAGCTGTCCACATGTGTCCTGTTTATCACTCTGGAGACGTCTTCATCTCAGACAAATTAAAAGCCTTTTGAGTGTTTGGTTTGTTCAAAGAGGCGGTGGCTCCTCTGGGCTCTGCTCTGCTGCAGACACGATGAACACACGAGTCATCCTGAGGACACGCTGCTGCTATGATCTGTTCATTATTCTGATAGGAGATCATATTTCTTTAATCAAAGCTCCTCTTCATGCTCCACTGAGTCCGTCTTCAGCTTTTTAGGCCTTATAATCAGGGAGAATCAAGCTGGGATGGTGGGCGGGATCCAGGAACATGCTGGCCACGTGTTTTTAGATCTTGGAAAGTTCACAGAATTCATTTTAAAATGAAACAGCAACAATGAGTTCAGTTTTCTGGTGACCGAGACTTAATATCGGCCTGGTGTTAAAAAAAATCCAATAACATTGGTACAAATATCCTCAGATCAGACGCCACAGCTGCTACGGTTTCAGTCCAAAAACCTCAAACTAATATAAAAAAAGAGGAAAACGCAACAACAGTTGGATAAAAGTCAATAACTATGACATCATTATTATTATTAACGCTTATAACATCAATGATTAAAACATGGAAAGAATACAGTTTTTATTATCAGAACTAAAGAATATTCTAATTAAAATAAATCCACAGAGAAAAGGCAGATGAAGACAATCTAATGAAGGATTTTGTTTTCAGAAACTCACTGAAATAATAACGCTGTTAGATTCTCTCTTTTTGAGCTCAGTAACAAAAATAAGATGTTATAAATTTGGAGTTTTCAAGTAAACTGAAGCATCAAACTCATGAGAAGACCTGAGTTTAAACACCCAGAGGAACCATGCTGGCAGCTAGAGATGAGACTCCAAACGGGAATCTGTGAAGCTACACGTGTGTGTGTGTGTGTGTGTGTGTGTGTTCTTACTCAGCAGTGCACGAGCTTCAGGAAACACATCTCCATAGTGATAGTTGAAGATACGAGCGAGATCCTGAGCCAGGTCCAGATGCTGGACTTGATCCTCCCCGACAGGGACGTGTGTGGACCTGGAGGACACAAAAAGAGACAGCGTCGCCACCGGAGATGTCTTCAGTGTCTCATCAGGAACCCATTAGGTTCTTTTATTTCTAAAATCCAGATCATCTGTGGTTTGATATTTAACATTAAGTTCCTGTGTGTGTGTGTGTGTGTGTGTGTGTGTGTGAGTGAGTGAGTGAGTGAGTGAGTGTGTGTGTGAGTGTGTGTGTGTGTGTGTGTGTGTGTGTGTGTGAGTGTAAATCATTAATTTGTCCCTTTAAATATTTACATCTGTAACTTCAGGATTTGTGACATGATGAAGTACTTTTTTGTCAAGGTCACAACTCTTGTGTCAAAATGTCTCGGTCCGTTTTAAATCCAGATTTTATTTTGGATCTGATCCCGAACTATTCTCAAAGCTGTCTCCAGATCCAGATCCTCGCCACAACTCTAGAGGGGAAAACCTGTCTCAGTTATGCTGAACAAAATGTCAGCGACGCAACAGCAGCGTCCTGGAGGAGGAGAGGGAATCCATAACCTGCAAACACCTGAAGACATTTTGGAAACTCCTCAGAAAACAACATGAGAACATCTGACATCAGCAACTGGAACACTGCCATTTCTCAACGTGAAATTGAATTAACAGAGGACAACATGGACTCCTTTGAGGGATGATGAGAAAGCTGGTCCTTTCAGTTATTTAGTTCTCATGGTTCATGGATGCAGCTCCACAGGACAAGCCATATCTGACGCCCCGCCCCGGTAGGACAAATAAAAATGTGATTGACCCAAAACACGAAGAGACGTTCTGAAGGACAACCTCAGCAGCAGGTGGAGCTCTTAGGAAGTGACGTATCTGCAGATCTAAGATTAAACACAGACAAAAGTTTGGGATTTCAAAAAGCAGAGAACAGGATGTCTCCAGATGTGTGTTCATCCCAACGACCAGGAGCGTCGCTTCAGCAGGGCTGAGCCCTGATGTCAGGTCAGCGCTTTGGAGAGGAGGGACACGGTAATCACCGGGAAGGAGAAGTAATGATGTTTTACACAACCTCTCTCAGGATAACGAGATCACGAGGCTCTTCACAAGAACAAAACATAAAAAAATCAAATTGTTTTACTCAAAAATGAATAAGAACAAGATTAAACACCAACATCCTAACACACACACACACACACACACACACACACACACACACACACACACACACACACACACACACACACACACACACACACACACACACACACAAACTCACTTGTAGAGGAGGATGTCTGCAGCCTGGAGGACTGGATACGTGTAGAGGCCTACACTGCCCTCGTTCTTCTGTTTGCTCTTCACCTGCAGGAACCATTGGGACAGAAGCACGAGAAGAATGAAGGAGAAGAGGAAGCATGAGGGAGGAGGAGAAAAAGGGAAGAAGCAGAAACAAAAGCAGGCCGAGGGAATGAGATGAGTTTTTGTCTCCTCTCTTATAAAAAGTCACTTTAGGTTTTACGACTCGTCACGGACGAGTTCCTGGGATGATTTCCAGCACGTGTGAGACCAACTCTTCTGTCGGAAAACCCAAAAAGCGTTTCTTATGAAGAGACAGAGAACAATCTGGATCTGGCTCGGAAAACCGACAGCATTCCAAACCTCTGGTGAGTGATGATCCTAAAACTGTGATGCAGGAAAGCCGTACGACGTCTGGCCCGTGTTCATAGCTTATGTTTATTTCATCTGAGCGTCTGGAACGTGTTCATTCAAAAAATCTGGTCTTAATAAACACATCTAACCTGTGTGAGTTTAGGAACGCCCACCAGTAGGCCCAGTAAAGAGCCGACGCCTGCTTCAGGAACACCACCAGTTTCAGCTGCAGTTTAACTTCCTCCCAGTCCATAATCACTCCTGCTTTTGGTTCTGAACCAGATCTTTGTGTTTGAGCTGAATCCTGCAGGAGGAACCCTCCACACGACTACTGATGGATGACCCGTTCTGCCTCCTCCGGCGCTGCCATGTTGTATTTTTGGAACCGTAGTCTGGATGTGTGGCTGGAACTCCCGCCTTGCAAAACGATCAGATGAAACGTAAAGGGAACATGTCTACTGGTGGGTAGAACCTCGGTTCCAAAGTCCTGACTCAACCACACTGACTTATCAGAGATGATGGATTTACTGGAATTTTATCATCGTTCAAGTTCTATTTATGCTGAATCAGCATCACTATGACCAATCCCTCGTTTTATCCTTATAAAGCTGATAATAAAATCAGGCTCAACTGCAAACAATCAGGCACGATTAAAACAGTCGGCACAAACATCAAAGTCTTTAATTAGTCCTGGTTTAGTGAGTCAAACACTACAGGCGTGTGTGTGTGTATGTGTGTGTTAACCTTCCACTGTGGCAGGTGCCGTAGGCGGGGCATGCTGGTCAGGCATCCGAGGATCCAGGAGAGCTCAGAGTGCTCAGACACCTGCAGCATGGAGACATTTAGAGACACAGAAAACAAGAACAGCTGTAAAGTAAAAGCCTCCAACTGCAGTGTTTCCATAAATGCCCTTTATCTACTGTTTTACTCTAATTATTCCCCCAAATCAAACAAAACACAGGAGATGACTGAGAACCAAAAGCTCTTTCTAGAATAGAAATGTGTAATCTGTTTTGGATTATACATCTTTGACTGTTTTAACTTTTAATTCTTGAAAATTACCTGATATTAATATTTCCTAATAGAAAAAACAAGCAGCTTTAATAAATGAATAAAAAAATCAGCAGATAAAAGAAAGAAGTCAACTCCACAGTGACTCCCAGTGAAAAGGAGGGGTATTACAAGTCTGGTACAGGTGCAGCCCAACACACCTGTGTTACCTGTAAGTGTAATTCAGGGGTTTGTTGTGTGTCTTTATGTCAGTAAAATGTGTCAACACACACACACACACACACACACTCACACACACACACACACACACACACACACACACAAACACACGTGCACACACACATACACACACCCACGCACACCCACCCACACACACACACACACACACAGACGCACGCACACACACACGCACACACACACACCCACCCACACACTCACACCCAAGCGCACACACACACCCACGCTCGCACACCCACACACCCACGCGCGCACACACACACACACACACACACACACACACACTGAGTGTGTTTACATGCAGCCAGTAACCCTTTTAAAACCCGAATATTCACAATAAACCGGTTCCGCAGGTCCGTGTAAACACCGCCAAAAACCCGGATATGCTCATAACCGGGTTTTTAAAAACCCGGTTACTACACCTGGGGTAACCCTTTTCTAACCCGAATGTTTGGTCGTGTAAACGCACATCGGGATATCCCCATCAAAGTGTGTGTTCTGCGCATGCTCTGTTCGCAAGGAATCTTGGTCTTTTGAGTAGCGAGACGTCTTGTATGCGCCAGAACACCGGAAGTAAACAACAAGTTGGGAGCAACATGGCGAGTCGCGGCACAGCTCCACACTTTTGGAGTGACGAAGAAACTAAAGCGCAAACAAATGTGGTCGCTATCTCTTCCGAACTGGGAAACATGTTGTTGTATTCACGGATACTGGAATAAGAAGAGCACACACACACCCACGCACACACACACACGCACACCCATGCACCCACACCCACACACACACACACGCAAACGCACACCCACACACACACACACACACACAGAGCATTAGGACTCTAAACAAATGAATTTGAAGCTGAACAACTCAATAAATCCTTCTGAAACAGGGCTGACCAAACTCTTCAAGATTAGGGCCAACATCGTCAACTGTCCTCGTCAAGAATGGGATATTTTTTCATTTAAAAAGTTAAAAAATGAATTTATGGTGATTTTTTTTCAATGTTTACTTTTCTAAATAGTTCAGAAATTGGCATTTTGGTAAAAATCTGATCATATAATTGTTAGAAAATATCAATCTATGTAAACACGCTCCCAGAAATACTAAATTCATCATTTTATAAATGTAATTGAGGGCCACACAAAATCCCTCCGAGTGCCACAAATGGCCCCCGGGCCACGCTTTGGATGTGCCTGTTCTAAAAGAACGATCACCCCCGGGCGCTCTTATTTTGTTACAAAAACGTTATTTTTTATTATAAACATCTTCTTCAACTTATTCCTGTTTTAAATCCCATTTACTACAAAACTTTTGTTTATTCTCCTCAGTTCAACATGTGATTTTAGTTTATTATTACAAATTTTATGTCCCTGTCGGCTGAGAGGCTAAATAAAACCGTTTGTTAATCTTCACTGAACAAATGTTATCTGTAAACTGCAGCTTGTATCCACACAAACACAATCTTTATTAGGATTTTATTTGCTGAGGTGGAGCTAAACGGACCGTTCGGCTTCCTTCGGTGGCGAACCTGAAAACGAGAAACGGATGTGGAAGATGTGTTTTAATGCAGACGAAAGCAGATCTGTGCGAGCCAGTTAAACGGTTTCCCGTGCCTCCTGGTGTCTGAAGAGTGTCAGACATCAGAACATGAAGCAGGACCTCGGGCTAACATGTGGGGCGTTCATTAATCACCACAGACGGACACATGTTGATGACAGCGCTGATGGAGGATGAGATGGAGAGAAGAAGAGCAGTAAATCGGTGAAGTTTAAAGATGAGGGAGGAGGATTCGCTCAGCTTAGGGACTGTATCACAACCGCACATACAGCCAGATCCTCTAAGATGTGTCTCTGTTTGCAAACCTAATCACCATTTTAAGAATGAATTCATTTTTATTATTATTATTAAAAATGACTCCTCATTGAGTTCCTGCATTTGTTTCTACTTTAAGCACACAGAAACAATGTTGTGATGCAGCTCAGTGTGTGTGTGTGTGTGTGTGTGTGTGTGTGTGTGTATGGCCTGTGTGCTATATGAAGGATTAACATCAAAAAATGATTTGGATAAAAATATTTT